AGTCTATTGTGTAGGTAGTTCCGGTCTCACAATACCCCCCTTCTAAGAGTTTTCTTTTTGAAAAGAAGAGAAAAAATAAAACTGTTAATACTTTTTCCTCTTGGGATTTACGTCGATCGGTTGAGTAAATTTCTTTTTCCTTCCTGAGCGTCGCACTTCAGGAGAGACTTGGGGCATGTCGAGATCGAACTAGAGATGCGTGAGCCACAGCTTTTCGCGAACCGTCTGGCAGTTTATGTAATCTGCAAGCACTAATGCCGTACGAGCTTGCATCACTTGCGACTATGATGTCGACACTAGGGTCGTAATGGGTGAGGGAGAGGTCTGAAGTAAGAGTTTTCTTGATCTTCTCGAATGCGTCTTGGCATTCCGGGGTCCATGACCATGGTTTGTCCTTTTTTAAAAGTTGATTGAGAGGCCATCTCAAATTTTGCATGTTCTTAATGAACCCTTGGTAAAAGTTAGCTAGGCCGCAGAAGCTTTATAACGCTTGAACGTTATCTGGGGCCGGCATGTTTCTGATCGCGTTGGCTGGTATTTGATTGGACTCCTTTTTTATGTAGACCGTAGGTGCTGCCCACTCGCTGAAATCTGTTTTGACAGAATACCTGCTTGTTCGAGTCTATCTAATTCTTTGTTGATTTGCTCTAGAGCAGCGAAAGGGACATTCCGTTTCTTTTTGAATACCGGTTGTGCACCGCCCTTCACTTTGAATTTAGCTTTCATTTTAGTACATTTCCCAAGGCCGCCAGAAAAAAACCTGAGGAAAATGTTGTTTGAGTTCCTTTTTGAGATTTACCAAATTGGACGTTGTACTTTGTATCTTGCGACAAAATGTACTCATTGGGCAATCCCAAAGATTGAATTTTTCTATCCAATCAATTCCAAATAAGTTGTCTGAAGTTTTTAATACGTAGGCTTTAAGCTTTTTGGGAACTCCATTTAGTGTTACTGTAAGTATTACCTCGCCTAAAATGTTAATTTTTTCGCCAGTTACGGATTTTGCTGTTTTATCCGTTTTTAATAAGGTCGGCTTGTTCAATTTTCGCCAAGTATGCCAGTTAATGGTTGAAATATCGGAACCCGAGTCAAGCTGGAATTTAATGGACTTATTGAAAATATCCACTGTTACATATTTTCTTAAATTCCTATCAACAATATTGTCAGACTGAGCTTGCCTAATTTTATTTTTGGGTTTTCTCGTTCTGTTGGCGTACCAGCATGAAGTTAAAGTATGACCACTTTTATTGCAATTTTTGCAATATTTTTTTGTTTTTAACTGGATAGAATTTCATCCAATGCCATTTACCACAATGGTAACATGATCCGGGCGGTTTCTTTAACTTATTTGGGTTTTGGTTACTGCGGAATTTAGGACATGAGATTTGCCTTTTGTCTTTTTGAGGGGAATAGGAGGTAGACTTGTTTCTGATTTTATTAATCTGAGCTACACCTGATTCCTCGATAGTGTTTGAGTCACATTTTACAGATATTACTCTTTGACAGTCCTCTGCCAGTTTTTGGAGAGTCAATCCTTGTTCATTCTCAAGCTTGGTCAGTACCCGTCGTCTGACTTCGGCGTCTTCTGCTGATACTAGACCTTGTGCGAAAATTAAGCACTTAAAATCATCGGCAGTCAGTTCGGCTAGTTTAAAATCATTACATAGCTTGTTCACCGATGCTGCAAATGTTGGAAAATCTTGCTGGTTATTTTTGACTGTGTTCAGGCATTTCTAACGTTTGTGGAACAAGGTTGGGTTAGACCCGAATAGTTCCGATAGGAGCTTAATAGTCTCTGAAAAATCCAAGTCAGTCGTTTTCTTGGGTAGTATGAATCTACGAACCTACTATGTTCTGTAGTTCCCAGTTTTCTCAATAGAAGACGTACCTTCTTTTTTACTGGACCATTGTTCACAGTCTACGTTGAAAATATCTTCGTAGGGCCTGTAAAAAGCCTGCAACGTTTTGTCTTCCTCTGGTACGTATTCAAAAGTTTCCATTGAATTGTAGATTGTACTCTGGGAGAATATTATATCTTTTTCAGAGTTTGAGCCTTTTAATGCATTTACGAGTAATTCTTTAAGTTGTTTCTGTTGTAGTTCAGTATTCTGAAGCGTAATTTTTTTGAATTCCATTTGCTGTTTATGTAATTCCAAAAATAGTTGTCTTTCTTCTGATTTTTGTTGCTGGTCCAAATTTAGTTTTAACATTTGGGCAACTACTTTTTGCAAATCTTCCATATTTATTTAAACAAAAATGACAGCGCTTTTTTTGTTGCTTTGAAACACATTTACTAAGAGGAGGTACACAAAAAAATCTTGAATAGATTTTTGTTCCTTTTTTTTTTTTTTTACAGAAAAAAATATGGACAGACAATATTTAAACTAAACGAATTATATTAAGAAATGGACAAGGTCCGACAATTTATTTATTAAAGACATTTTTTATGTTTAACGTTGTTATTTATAGATACAAGTATTTAAACGAATTATGTGTGTTTAGCTTTTTTTTTTCCCGTGGTTCCGTTAATTTTAACGTAATTGAATAATTTTTCACCACACTTATGTATTTTTTTTTTTTAGAAAGGTAGGAAAAAGAGAAAACTCACCTCAGTGAATTTGAGGGGAGAATAATTTTATGCACGAGTTCAACTCAGTTACATAAAAAATTTTTCGATAGTTTTTTTCGAAAACTTGAGTACAATGGTAGTACTTGCTCTTGTATTGTCAGTTTGTTTTATGACAAACTGTTCTTTTTTTCTGTGTGTGGGGGTGTGTAGAAATCGTTCTCGAATTGTTATTTGGACCGACTTTAATATTCCGTAGATGTTGTATCGCTATTTCGTCATTGCTGTTTGGTATTGGAATATATGTAGACGCTGGGTGCTTAGCTAATGTATTAATACCAGCTTAATTTCACGTTCAACACTGCTGTGGAAACGTGTGGAGTTTGTGTATTTTTCGAGTAGTGTCGCTATTGATATGGTGAGAACGAAATTCTCGAATTTTTCTGTCGCCACTGTTGTGGGACTGACAAAGTATTGTGGTTTTCGACGTGAATGCGTTTCTCGAATTCTTCGTCGACACAGATGTGGAACTGGTAAGGTATTTAGGTTTCGCCGTGAGTGCGTTTCTAGAATCCTCGTCGCTTCTGATGTGGGGCCAAAGTTGGGACCACAGAAGTAAAACACGGAACACGGATTATAAGTAACGAAAGATATATTAACAACAGGTTACAGAGATAGTGTAAGCAGAGCTTACTATAAGTTAGTGTCCAACACTGCTAGTCGTACTAGACTCTTACTGTCACTCTCTGTCATTCTTTAGAGTGCTATATCGCCTACTTAATATAGGCCTGGAAGAGTCTATTGTGTAGGTAGTTCCGGTCTCACAATACACTGCTTACATCATTCAGGCTTATGTCATCATCTTTATTGGCATATTCACGACGTTTCGACTGTTGTACGCTCCGACCTTCTTCAGGTAATATACGTTGGAATTTAGAACTGAACCTTTTATTTAGTCCACGACTCTTTGGGTCAAGTCATTTTTGGATTACTTCAATCAACGCTTTTATCCATTGGGCCATGTGTCCCTATGTGAGTTCAATATCTGGCCACAGCAGAATTGAACAAAAACAGAGTTGAGTTACTAAAGGGAATTAACTGAAAGTGAGATTATCCAGAAAAGGCATGACACGTGGAATTGGAACAGTCTACCCCGTAGACTAAATAAAGGATTCGGTTTTAAAGGCCAACGTATATCACCTGAAGAAGGTCGGTGCCTAAAACGGCGAAACGTCATGAATATGGCAATAAAGATGAGGACAGCAGTCTGAATGATAAAAATCGTGTAAATATAAAACTAGTTATTTATACTTCGCATATAGACAAAAGAATGATTTGAAAATAGTTTTTCTTGATTAAATGAAGCATTTTTTAAAACAGTTTCAAACAATTTTCAAAGTAATATAAAAAAATTAAGATATACCCCCGAGGATATGGGCAAATAGAAGACAGGGTGCGGCAACTAGTCTTAGAATTAAAAATAGTGGAGAAGGCAACGAGAAGCCACTCCACTCTCTTTCCCAGGAATGCATTGCAAATCATCGATAATAAAGAAAATGAACCTGTGGAGAGTCATGATGGCCTACGTTTTGGAGAGAAATGTCAATTAAGAAGAAAGATAAAAATAGGTATAAATCAAACGGAATGAAAACATTGTGAAAGTTGTAAACACATATCAACGTGGTGGGTGGCTATGCAATATTGCCTGTAACTGCCGGAAAAGCTTACATGTCGTGTTGGTGCGTATTTAACGTCAGAACAAAGATGGCTGCCACCGTAAAATAGTGGACAAAAATAGAGGTACGAGATGGAATAAGATTTTTGCATATCAAGAGCAAAAATCCAGTTTTTTTTGTCTCAGAAGACACTTTACTGAAGAACACGTTCCAGCTCATTGGCATTTCTTTTCAGCATTTGAAATGGAGAGCTGATAAAGACCTTCTGGAGCACACGATCACGGTTATATGAGACTTAAGGGTATCACTTCACTCCAGAGACGAAAGTTTGTTTCATGATCTGGAAGCATCCGTCCTCACCGACCTCCCAAATATTAATACACACTTAATATGTTTGGAAACTGATAAGAACGTCAGCAAAATATACGCTATGTTAATAATATGTTAACTTTAGTGACATTTTCTTACAAGATAGAGAGAACATTTTCTTTTCATTTACTAATACTTATCACTTTCGGAGGTAGTGTAATTGTTAGCAGATCAGAAAACGAAATCGCTGAGTTCGAATTCTAGTCGAGTTCCTTACACTCACTTTCGCACGAATACTCTCGAGAAACATACGAATCCATTTCTGTTTCTTCCCGCTATAGGTTAAGTAACAACGTACACTGGCTTGTCTAGCTGTGGTTGATAACCAGTCTAGGAGAAGGATAACTTTGAATTCAAAACCCAACCACCTGATGCTTACCGTCACATCACGTTAAAACACCGGTTTCTGTAAGATCGCCAAAGTTAAGCAACGTCGAGCCTGGTCAGTATCTAGATGGGTGACCGTTTGGGAATATCAGGTGCTGTAAGCTTGGATTTGAGGATGGTGTAATGGATAATGGCTCGGAATTGTTAATCGGGGAGACGAATTCTAATTCCATTTGGGTTCGTTATATTCACTTATGCAAACATAAACTTGAGAAAGTTATGAATCAACCTCTTTCCCCCGCTATGGGTTAATTAGCAAGACTTGTATCACTAAATAATTATTATCTAAAATAAATAAATATTTTGATCTCGGCATTAAATAATAGAAGTGGATATACCGCTAAACAAAATCTACCACCAATCTGAAGATGTACAAAGATGGTTATATAGGGAGTACAGGTATTGTTTCTTTTATGTGTCATGTCCCTTCAGGATATTGGCGATCATGGATCTCCACAATTTCTATTCTTTAGTAGCTCTATAAATATTTTTTAAGAAAACAGATTTCAATAGCTATAGATGATTCCATTGGAAAGTGGTTATCCAGAATGTTGTTTAGATGAATGGACATTGAGTTCAAGAAAGGATAAACTCATCACTTCCATTTAGATTGGTTAATGTTAATATAATTATTATTTTGTCTCGAAGATGGACTTATTCTTCATTTTGGTGTTCAGCAAAGTACTGTCGATTGTTTAAGTGTGAGCTGATGGTTCTGGGTCAACGAAATTCATACTCTGATTTACAATCAGTTATAATTGCGATCATCCTACAAAGATGTATATCCTTTCCAAGAATACGACATAATAAAATACAGCTTTGGATTGTGTCCAATAATGTCGAGGCTGTTCTATCTGGCACACAGTATATGAAACATTCTTTTGTTTCACGACATATGCTCCCAATAAAAAAACAAACATACTTTGATTTCAAATTTCTTGGGATTAATATTTGCGATGAGTAACTTTGCATTATTTGGGGTGAATTAACAGAAAGGATCCAATACCTAAATTAAATATTATTAGACAGACATGTAACAGATATAGAAAGGTTTTATTTTTATTTACCAAAAATGCTGATGTTTGTCTTTAGAGACAAACAAACAAGAATTTAAACAGTGATATCCGAAAATTCATACTTACTTGTAAAATTTTCTTGGGGCCAACTCCTACCTAATCCTTTAAAATATTAAAAGAGAAAATTCAAATTTTAAGCATAAGTAAAAAGTAGTTGGAATAACAGCAATTTTTATCCTATTTGTCTAACTAAAAGATAAAAAAGGAAGTGGTACATTCATCACATACTAGTAACAAATACGAGTAAAAGACTCCAGTTATTTAAAGTTGACGTAAAAATATTTAATCTGAAAAGATAGTGAGAATTTTAAAGCATTCATTTTGTTTTAGCTGCGATTAGATCAAATATTGATTTTGCTATCTAGAAATTCTCGTGATAACAGAAGAATGTATTCAGGATAGAGTTAGATAAAAATAATCGTAAAATTTCACTTTTTTTTTTACCTCAGACAGTGACATCTTACAATCGGAGGACAAGATACAAGGAAATTTCCGTTACAAAGATACTCAAACATCTAAGTATTTTTATCCAAAGTATCAATATGTAACAGAGTAGTGTACTTTTACCAATAAGTTAATCCATAATTTTTTAGCTGGTTTAAGTGAGAATTGCTGTAGTTTTAATTTTATCATGTAGGGTAAATTATAAAGTAGTTGGGAGAGAAATGTAACAGAGTTATTGGTATGGATTTTACAAGTAAGTGAATATATAAAATTTAGATGGTTTAAATGGGAATTGCTTTAGTAGTAATTTCCTTATGTACGATAAATTACAAGTCACTGCAATCAATGATGCATATATAATTATATTCATATATATATATATATATTCATATTTATGATTATAGTTATCATTATTTACATTAATTACATGCTGACTATCGTCCTCATCTTTGTTGTTATTTTCACTGAATTTCCGAAATCAAGGTCGATCTTTATTTACAATCGGTCTAATGCCCTCATATTTGTTAATATACTCAAAACATTTAGATTTGAAATTAGATTAATCCAACTGAAAATAATGTAATTAAATTATAGTTACTTTTTTTTTTTTTTTATAGATTAGCATCAATGTCATTGCCACACTTTTGTTATCTGTTTGGTGGGTTAGGCAGTTGCATATTTCAGATGCTGATTTTCAAGGAAAGCAACTTTTTACACACTTGGAGCATTGACTCAACATAAACATCCAACTGCAGTTTTCTTCTTAATTCTGGGTAAGATGACAAACTACGTCCGGCAGCAAGGCCTCTTATCGGGGTGGTGGGGGGATTGGAGGTTTTCAGGAGTATGGAACCACCTCTTAATTGCCATTTTTCCCATGTTCGCCATGACCCGGGAAACTGTTCGGGTTTGTTTAGCTATGGGTAAATAGTGACCCCCGCCAAACAAAAAACAAAACACTATGGAAATATAAAAATACACTTTTATAGTAAAAATACCAGCAATGGATTTTTTATATAAAGTTACCAACAATACCTATTCATAGTAAAATTATCAACAATATATTTTTAAATCAAAATGATCCGCAATACGTTTTATAACAGAATGACCAACAATACAATTTATCATAGTTAAAGGCTTACAGTTGCGTTCAAAATATTTAGTTTTCGGCATTAAATAACCCATAGACGTTGATGTGCCGCTGAACAAAATCAACCAATTTCTTTTTGCTCTCATGTGCCTTTATGCCATACTAACCTTAGTAAATAACAGTTGTAAATGTTTACAATTTTTCTTTGTAACATACGAATACAAATATACTTAGTGTCTGCTGTTGAGTGATTATGTGACAAAATGAAACCTGTGATCAGGATATCCACATCGAAGTGGATGGAAACGATTTTATCTGTGTTTGAAGTGCCTAGCGTTGTTATGACTCCATAAACAATAAAATCTCCGGAGTAAGATCTTCAAAGGAAAAGCAATAATATAAATAGTTAAACCAATGAAAGAATTTCGGGAACAAGTGCCACTTGACCGGAAATTGGAATGCTCCGTTCGCAGGCTTATACAAACAGCTGCATTTAAAACTGAAGGTAGTTCTGACAGGCTATCAATTGAGAGAATTCCGGACCGCCTGTTAGGGAGATGCAGTGTAGAGATGGGCAGAGGAGTGATAGGATAGAGTCCTCGCTGGCCGAGGCGAAGAGCTTATCTGTTAGCATAACACGATGGAAGTAACAAAGGTTATCCCAAGTATCACCTATCTACCCACTAAACGGTGAAAGTGAACCCTTTAATATACAACTAAATATAAGAGAAAGGATATTCATGCTTTTCATTTCTCGCTGTAGCATTATTTCAGCTTGCGTTCTCCTTGTGAACTTATTCTGGGCCTTTCCCAAATTTTGAGCGACTGGAAACGAAACATAATGTAGGGGTGATCGGTGAAAAACTGAGAGAAGTCCCCGTTGTATGTTTACAATAGAAAGCTTGTCTCGCAAGCCATTGGCAGTGAGTTACGCTATCACTAGGAGGCCAACTATTAAATAATTGTGCATTTTAATAAAGCTACCGGCTGTTAAGACGATTATCCCGCATGCCATTTCCATTGTAATAACTTCGATTTTCATTAGTCACACCGTTATTGTAGCTGTGTCAAGTTATGTTTAATAAATAGTTACAATGACTTGAATGGCACTAAACGTTATGTCACCGAAAGATTGTTTAAAGAAGTATTTCAGAGACCGCTATGATTTGCACAGAAAAGAAGGTATTGATAAATAGGTCATCATCATAATATATATATATTATGAATATTATTAAACTGTAAAATATTATAAAAATCTATATTATGATGATTTGTTTGTGAATGTGTTTATTAAAAAACGGTACATTATAGTGATGTTTTTGATAGAGCAATACTGTTAAAATTTTTTAACCTGAAGAATAAAGTAATTTTTACTCTAATGCAATTTCCAGTTTAATCAGCAAAGTTTAATAATAATGGGGCAGTTGCGTTCGCAATTAGCTTGATAATAATAAACCAATATTTCTATGTGTTTTTTTTTTGTTTATAGAGAAGCTAAAAAGAATATCACAGCATCATTGAAAATATTTCTAATTGCTGCATAAAATAATATCTGTGAAATAATGATAATTTTATTTTATAAAAAATATTATTGCATATTTTTGTATAGAAATATTTCTCTACAAAATAAACAGTATTTCATAAATACCATTATTTTATAAAAATATCTATCTTATAAGTCCTATTATCATTGAATGCATCTATATCTATTATTATAATTTTTATTGATCTGATTTTTATTTGTGGGTTTGTTATACAGCAAAAATGGCACGTCGTAGTGAGGGTATTGTTAGTGCAATACAATTTAAATACTCTTTTCGGCACCGCAACGTACCTATATTTGTTCAAGTGCTCATCAATGAAGAAAACAGGGTCCTGTATGACATTCCCAAGCAAGCCGCCAGATCCTGTGCCTCACACAACAAAACCGTTTGATGAATAAAACAATTTTTGATTTTATTCTAAATTATTTTATTCAAAATTTGGGATAATAATGCCGCATAAAGCTTAATAAGTATTTATGTTAAATCAATCTGCCATGTAAATTGAATTCATAAGTAGTAAAGTGCAGAAGGTGGGGCAGAGGGTGCGACGGCCCGGGGTATGCATATCGGGAGTGCATTCAATCAAAGAGTGTAATAGAAATTTAGTTTATATTTCATACCTCATCTCTTTTTACATATTTAAAATGCCTTCCTTTCACACATTTCTCAGTATTAGGCTCTATAGCCTCCACCCCCTACTTGAGTCTTAGGGGTATACAATCAAGGTGTTGGCCCCGGGCATCACCAAACATCACAAGACCTGTGCACGTAACTGTTCATAAAACACACTCTTTTATTATGAATGCGGATTACTCAATTGTATAACGTAAATGCATAACATTAAAACTCATCTGTATAAGGATGTATGTAAGCACAAGAAACCCAGTCTGATTGAAGGTGTTCGTAAGTATCTAGACTTGCCCCTAAGTTTCTGCGGCAACCTCATCG